CGAAATTTTGTACTACACCCGAAGAGTTAGCAAGCGGGAAATTGAGACTGGATCTTAGTTCACCGAATTATTGCTGATTTATCCATTCAATTAAAAAACAAGCTTACCTTTCTTTTTTGCAGTGTGGAAATGCACAAAGTATGTAAATCAATAGTCATTAAAATAAATAATTTCTGTTTGAACGAATGACTTTATTAATATTACCCGCACGTGCGACCTAAGCGGAGACAAAGGTACACATGATGTTGGAAATATAATTAAAATTAAAACTCTCTCTTCTTTTCGCTTGCCATTTATTACCGGTGAATTACCGGTCTGGCCACCGATGAGTGAATTCAGCTGCGCTTATCATCAGTTCTTTGAATCTCTCTCCTCTCTTTTTCTCTTTTTTAATTCTTTCTTCGAACAAGCCCATGAAACCAAAAACAACAATTTCAAGTTACAACCAAACCAAACCAAATGAAAATAATAAATAAATTATGAATATTACGTTTTACAAGTTTCAAAAACGTCGGGGGAAAAGTTCTTAGATTCGAACAATCCAAAAAAAAAATCAAATCATCTTTGGTGAATACGGCATTCAACCACAGCAATGAAACGACAACAACAATAACACATATTTTTACTGTCAAAATTTTGATGTCAAATGGTGTCGACATTGGTGATGGTATTTTGAAACAGACTGTGTAATCCATATTCATCGTATATGATCCATCCTATGTAAAGTTCTATACTTGATCTAGTTCACATTGACGGTTAAAATCGTTTATGTCCACTAGCGTAGACATTGACTGTGTGTTTCTTCTGTTACATGTACGTTGTAATGGACAAGTATAACATGTCGTCGTTCAAAAAATTTAAAAATCCGTCACTCGTGTCGACACCATCTAGCACGGTAGTAGGGATTTCATTGCTGTGCATTCTACAACTTGATTAAAAATTCTTCATCATAATCAGGCGATGACTTTTTCATACGTTTCAACCGCTGAACTAAGTCGTACTTTATTTTTACCGGTTCGCAAAGGTACATGCGGTCACCCACCGATTTTTGAAAAATATATAAAAGACGCAAATTTATTTCATGTGTTTAATAAATTTTAAGTTATTTATCGATCAATACTTACATTTGTGATATAATAGTAACCAGCTGCAAACTGACTATCGTCTTGATAGTGGCATGTGTTTGCTACGGGTGAGCCAACGGATATATCACCATCTGATTCATCAGGCGAATGAACAATAAATTCTTCACCTACACATCTATTTAAAGTAGCTATTGTTGAACGCATGCGTATATTTTCTTCTTTAAGCTGTAAAATAACACTGTTGAACACTGTGGTCATTCGCGTTGACATTTTGAGCAGAAGTGTGTTTTGAATGCGGTAAAAATGCTGGGACAGGGATCGAACACTTTTTGGCGCCCATGGCAATGATTGCAAATTGTTGAATTCATTTGGTTGAATGTATTGATTGGGGCCAAGCGATTATTGATCGCATCATTTTCATCGTCAGAGTCGTCAGAACCACTATCGGATATATTCATATAGTCGACAGCTGTAGCGCAATCAACGCCACCAAATCTTTTGCTTCCTTTTTCTTCATATTCTGGACGTTTCCACTGAATATAAACTTGAGCATCGTCAAGATCATCAAATGATTTCATCACTCGACCTTCGTAGCATGCCATAATATTTTTTTTTTTAATAAAATAAAGGAATTCTTGCTCAAAATCTGGTGCACAATTATCCAACGACGAGAAACCAACAACTGGAGAAGCTGGAGCAACAACAACAGTTAGACACCATTTGAATATGAACCACCAGTTTCACCACAATACATACCAACTTCACCTGATGGGAACCATCGTAATTCAACTCACCGAAAGTGGTGATGATGTAAATCGAGTGGAAGTCTTTAGATTTAAGTAACAGGAGTGTATAAGAGACGCTCATGAAGAGCAGAGCAAGTAACCGAATCACTTGCAAAATAAAAAGTAATGAAAACATAAAACCGAAGTCTTTTATTACATTTAGTTCATGATCTGACTCGCTCTAACAGCTCATCGAACATGGTCCTTCGAATCGATGACAGTTGCGGGCAGACAATATATTGAATTAACTGGCCAGTTGAGCTGACAGTACGTTAGCCAGCTAAATGGGCGAAAACAATAGACGTTATTGTTTTAATGATGAATCACTTTTCTTGTTTTAATAGAAGTGATTGTTCATTTAGCTAGCTAACGTACTTTCAGCTCAACTGACCAGTTAGTTCAATATATTGTCTGGTTGCTGATAAACAAACGGTATTAAACGATTTCTTTTTTGTGTAGAAAGTAGTAAAAATATTTTTATTTCAACATTTAGGATTTTTTCGTTTTCGTCACTTTAAACTTGAGATTTAAATGGTTTTCCAATCACAACGTCTACTTCAGCTGGCGGCATAAAAAGGGATGAATAATTCCTTTCAAAATGTTTTTCATAATTGTATTTTGATTGCAGTTTTTCACGACACAGTGGGCATTGCAGTCGCGTTGACACACGGACAAATGTTGCTCCATGCTTTTGAACCTTTCCGTGCTGAGTTTTAATGTGACGATTACACTGCAAAACTTAACGGATTAAAAATAAATCTTTTTGGATTTTTAAAATAAAAAATGATGGGGGCTTTTAAGTATATATATTTTACAAAATATTCACAATATACACGTCTTATTCATCACATCCACGACATAAATTTCCAGTGAATATTTTGTATTTTATACTGTATAATATACAAAATTGATATCAGAAATTTTGTGTTTCAAATTTTGGTTTCGTCACTCGTTCTTCACCTGGATAGAGGTTTTTTATTTGATATAGAATATACAGTGTATCTATCGAGGTGAAGAACGAGTGACGAAACCAAAATTTGAAACACAAAATTTCTGATATCAATTTTGTGACGAAAATAGTTAGTAGATATTTTTTCTGTGAACTGTGAATATAAATTTAATATACATTTGTATATTCAAAACGAATGGAATTTTGGACCGCAAATGGCTTCATTCGATAGCTCACTTCAAGACCTTTCCAATGATATGCATATGTCCGGGGGGTGTTAAGTCATGGCGCTTCGGTGACCATAGGAAAAAAAGTCGAAAAGTGACTTTTAGAGGCCGGCCATGGCAAACATGGCGGCCAAATCGAAAAGTGCCGGAACAAAAAAGTCTTAGTTTTTTATGTACTTTAATCCCAGAAAGTTTCAAAGAGGTACGCGAAAAAAGTGCACAGACACACAGACAGACATTTTGATATTTCATGGAAATTCAAATGAAATTTTTAAAATAATAAATTTTTCGAACGGATTAACCGATTTCGACGTTTGAGGTATCGTTGGAAAGGTATTGAGCTCTAGAATTCGAATATCGATGATGAAGGGTCAATGACCTCATTTAGTGCCATCTATGGTCATGAAACTGAATTTTGACTCTTTTCTTGAAAGGACCATATTTTGAAGACAGGTGGACCGATTTTCAAACTTTTATATTTTTTCTTGATCTATAGCCCACATGACTATTCATGCATTATGTTTCAATATATACTGTAATAGTAGTATGCATTTGTACTTAAAAGCCCCTAGAAAAAATCCAGAAAAGGATTAAATTCTTATCTCGAATATATCTATTGAAAATATCGAGAGGAGAGTATGTTTTTATTCAGACATTACTCAGCCATAAGCGCTGAATAACATACTCTCTTCTCGATAAATTCAATAAATATAGAAAAAATCCCCAATTAGAATATTAAAACAATACTTAGTTAAAATAATTTGTAACAAATTATTTGTTTGAATTCGATTTATTGGTTATCATCAATTTCACGGTGAAAAACATACAGTTCAAAGCAGAGCAGCGGTTGCGTGAAAGAAACAATACATGCGCAATCATCACATGTACGCTTAAGGTGTACATCACAGCGACGAAGCGGGTGATTGCGCGCATGTATTAGGGTTTTCACTATTTGGTCAACATATTTCACTCTGTTGTGATGCTTGTGTATATGTATTGTTTCAGCTACAACTGACAGTTCTCTTTTGCACTGTACTTGTGTATATGTTTTGCTCCGTGAAATCGATGACAACTAACAAAATGAATTCAAACAATTT